TGTGATGATTAGTATTTTAGATATCAGTAAAAAAGCTGAAAATTAATTATGCAAATTAGGTAATTAATATGCACAATTATTTATCCGAAACAATCTCTGCATAGTACCAAGTTTCATTGAAATTCAATGCTCACTACTTATATCAAAAGCTGAAAATTAATTAATTATGCAAATTAGGTAATTGTATGTACTGATATTACCATAAAAACTATCAGGTCTGTGCAGTGTCATATGACATCTATGTACCAAGTTTCATTGAAATGTGATGATTAGTACTTGAGATATCAGTGGAAAAACCCAAAATTGACTAATCATTATGCAAATTAGGTAATTAGTATCCACGGATTATTACCAAAAACTAATCAAATCTGCGCATATGTTCAGAGCATCCATGTATCAAGTTTCATCAAAATCCAATGAGTGGTTCTTGAGATAGTAGTGGAACAGTCTGACATGCATACATGCAGACACACTAACTGCAAAGACTGATATTACGTGCTTCGCACATGGGAGTCAAAAAATTTGGCCAAGCTGATATCAGATCATGAATTAGCTATTAGTAGTCAGCACTTATAACCCCCTATACAACACCCCCCCCCCCCCATAGTGTTCCAGTCTTTCGTCGTCTTGTTCTCTGTTCCCCTGATCTATTTACGGTTTTTAGAACAGTTTTTCTGATTTGGAGGGGCAGAGAATGGAAAACTTTTTGAACAAAAGCAAGTTATGAAGCTTTCTCACTCTCAGTGACCATTTGTGAATTAGGTCAATTAACTAGAACCAATTTATGCAAATGATGGACTTGATGTGGTATGGAACTCGACATTTACAAGAAGCCACTTACAATTATGGGTGTTACACTAAAGCACCATAGCTACTCATTTTATTAACTAAATGCAATCTTTGGATCAAAGCAACCATATTTTATATTTGGAAATTTATAGTATGGTAAAGTATTGGTTTGGAGTTTTGTAAATGTTTACCCTGTGGAATCACAGCTATGAGTGGTTAAAGTCTTCGTGTTTTAAAAAATATTCATTCTATCACCACAAACTTTCAGAAAAGAGTTTTGTCAAATTGGTTGGGGTGTTGCGGGACAAATAGTCAGAGTGTAGTGAAGCGGCTGACAGCATAAATAAACATACAATGGAGTGAATATGATGAAATCTGAATAAAACAATCAAGAAAACTGCTATTTCCTTATGAGTTTACTTTCGAACATTGCAAATTTTTTGCCATTTTTGTTTTCACTTTCGATTAGATTGTTCCAAGTAATATTAGAATGTTCCAAGTAATAATAGAATGTTCCAAGTAATATTAGATTGTTCCAAGTAATATTAGAATGTTCCAAGTAATATTAGATTGTTCCAAGTAATATTAGAATGTTCCAAGTAATATTAGATTGGTCCAAGTAATATTAGATTGGTCCAAGTAATATTAGAATGTTCCAAGTAATATTAGAATGTTCCAAGTAATATTAGAATGTTCCAAGTAATATTAGATTGTTCCAAGTAATAATAGAATGTTGCAAGTAATATTAGAATGTTCCAAGTAATATTAGATTGGTCCAAGTAATATTAGAATGTTCCAAGTAATAATAGAATGTTCCAAGTAATATTAGAATGTTCCAAGTAATATTAGATTGGTCCAAGTAATATTAGAATGTTCCAAGTAATATTAGATTGGTCCAAGTAATATTAGATTGTTCCAAGTAATATTAGATTGGTCCAAGTAATATTGGAATGTTCCAAGTAATAATAGAATGTTCCAAGTAATATTAGAATGTTCCAAGTAATATTAGAATGTTCCAAGTAATATTAGATTGGTCCAAGTAATATTAGAATGTTCCAAGTAATAATAGAATGTTCCAAGTAATATTAGAATGTTCCAAGTAATATTAGATTGGTCCAAGTAATATTAGATTGTTCCAAGTAATATTAGATTGGTCCAAGTAATATTAGAATGTTCCAAGTAATAATAGAATGTTCCAAGTAATATTAGAATGTTCCAAGTAATATTAGATTGGTCCAAGTAATATTAGAATGTTCCAAGTAATATTAGATTGTTTCAAGTAATATTAGATTGTTCCAAGTAATATTAGATTGTCCCAAGTAATATTAGAATTTTCCAAGTAATATTAGAATGTTCCAAGTAATATTAGAATGTTCCAAGTAATATTAGATTGGTCTAAGTAATATTAGAATGTTCCAAGTAATATTAGAATGTTCCAAGTAATATTAGAATGTTCCAAGTAATATTAGATTGGTCCAAGTAATATTAGAATGTTCCAAGTAATATTAGAATGTTCCAAGTAATATTAGATTGTTCCAAGTAATACTAGTATTAGAATGTTCCAAGGAACACTGATAGGAAGATAGCAGTTTTCATGATCAGTTTAATTCCACCATTTGATTGCCATTCTGTTAACTGCCACAATTTGACATTTATTTTCATCTATGATATTTTTCTGTACTTTCTCAAATAATAGGGTTTAATTTTGTGAAAAACAACAAAAGATGACTTTGGCATTCAACAGAACATATGCTGTAGTATTTTGACATGTTTTTTAATGAATATTAATAAGTGCTGAGGAGTTTTTTCTCACTTTTCCAGCCGTCAACCACACTGGTCGGACACAAGCACCTGTGAACATTGACCACATTTACGAAAATATACAAGGAATATTTGCCACATATGTGACAAAAAAATACCGAACAGACAAACTTACCTAAGCCGTGTTTTGCCACGGTGCGAGTTGTTTGATAAGCGTTCCCTGTTATGAATACATAATTAGACTCTAAATGTTTCAATTTGTCAACTATATAACGTACTAACTGAACAACAAAGGGATCCTGAGTATTGTGTATCATTAAAGAATTTTGCATATTTGACGTGGTGTTGTGTAGATCCACTAGGAAATCATATGCTGCATCAGAATGCTTTGGTCCAAAGATTGCATGTAGTTCCCTGCCACGGTTAATTTCATACATATTATTACTGTCTTCTTGGCTGGACCTAAACACAGGAAATATGTATATAAATATCATGAATTAGAGCTTCACATTTATAACTCATCCACAGTTCATGGCAAAAAGTATTATCTTAGTTTATAGATGTATTTATAAATATTCCACTGTACATACAGACCCTCAGCTTTTATTCAAATATATGAATGTGATTACGGTAAGATCTCAACATTGTCAACACCCATACTGCAAACTTAATATATGAATAATATTCACATTAAGGTGTTTGCTGATTGGATGATGTTGAAGTAATTATTAATATTAAATTATACTTACTATGATGTCAGAATACCATGTTAGATTGATCAATTAGAAAAGCAGAAAACTGTACCTTAAATTTACAAACTTTTGAAATCACCAAATTATCAGCTTTTATTCAAATTATAATACTTAATAGTGTTGGCTCAAAAGCTCAACTCTGTCCACACCTATAAATACATGCGTAAATCATCACCAGGACATAGCGACTGCAACTACCCACTTATTCTAAATGTAGTACTTGCTGATTGGATGATATTGAATTAATTAATATTTATTAGAAATTGTGATGACGTTACAATATTATGCAACTTTGGTAATTACCGGATTCTGCTGTAAATTCGCTCATTCAAAAAATCATGATTTCACGGCTGGTGGGCCCTTATTTGGGGTTCAAAATTTCATCATCGAATATTTTTGGGGGGACTTAATTTTCATTGAAAAATCCACCTACGCCGACAACGAACCTCGTGTGCCAAATACTATTATTTATTTTGTTTTATTAGTAACAAAAGTATATTCTAAAAGAAGTTCCAAATAAAAACAAACACAACTGCATTGCTTAGTAGCAAAAGGTCGCGGTAGCGCAATCCGGTCATGGTGCATTTCACAATTGTTGATTATTACCTAGTAATGATTATAATAACGTGCAAAAAATAAATTTGTTGAACTGTTATGAAATGCAAATAAATTTCAACTTATTTCATCGTAAGCGAATGATTCCGATCGCATTTTCAACGCTTGATGCTGAAGAAATGAATATACGCCATGTTTTGACCTAGGAAGGTGTTCTTTGACCTGATAGGTCAAAAAACAATTGACCAATTAAAATGATGGATGATGCCAACGTGTTCAAATTACAAAGCTCATTTAAATATGTCAATGTCATTGAACACAGCACAGAAGAGATTTGCCAATGTTGTTGTATTATCTTTTTGGCTTGGATTTTGACGAGAAGGCGGCATAATTTGTTTTCAAATGATAAACTAGGCATTTGAAGAATAATTTGACATTGTTTACAGTGATAATAGCTCATTGTCAAAACAAAACTTACCCACTCGCAATAAACATCAATACTCTGGAATAGGCGTCAGTGAATATGGTGAAACTTTTAGGCATCAGAAAAGATTAAAACAACACCCTAAAAAACTGACAAAAAAAAACACCCTGGACAATTTCTTGGTCCCATATTATATTTTTATCAACCCAAAATGGCCGTTTAACGGCCCACTGCGAATTTACAGCAGAATTCGGTAATATGGACAGAATTTATTTATGTACTGTACTATAAAAAATATCTATGTACTAAGTTTAATTGAAATGTAATGATTGGTTATTGAATTAACGGTAGAAATGTGTGCTTTTTACATGGGAGTCAAAACTTGAATCTAAGATGATTGCAATACAACTAGATGTCCTTATTCTTCACTATGAAATTTTTTTATCTCGCGCCCCTAATTCTTATGTCCTGCCCCTTTCACCCTCTTGTACAGGTCTATAATTTCCCATTAAGATTTTCACCACCAGTCCCCTCTTTTCCTCACAAATTCAAAAAACTGAAATTTGGCTCCAAAATTAGGGTTCAAGATCAGAAATATTGAAGAATATAAGAAAAAAATGCAAACAAATTAGAGCAAAGAAGTCTGGTTGTGAAAAAGTAAGTTGAGTTGAGTTGAATATCATATTATGAATCTTATTTGATAATAGTTTGCATCAATGCAATAATTTAGTCTGAAATTATATTGCATTCATGAAAACGATGTCCTTTTTTCAACAAACATAAAACGTGATGAAAATCAAAAAAAAAGAAAAAAACATTGAAAGGGTTGTTAATATATTGTTTTGGATACACAACTCGCTATTATAAGTCTACATTCTGATAAACCTTGGTTAAAAAATAACTATGGCAGATAAAGTTAAGGGTATGTCGTTGTGGCATAATTACAATAAAAATCAAATGATTGAGAACAAAATCACAAAATGAACGTATATTTCTAGAATAACAGTATCGGAACTGGGCAAGTATATGGCCATCATGATGGATTTCTGCTATGCTATTGGTCAGACTTGAATCAAATGATGTGTGTATATCAGATCACATCATTTAAGCATACCCTTATCAACTGTGCCTTATCTATTCATTTGCCTGATTTAAAGTTCATTACTTAATTGCCCTGATTCCCACTCCATTGTTGCACAGGAATATATAATTTCATACTCAAATCCAACTTTCTTTTAGTCATTTGTCTTGTAGGATTTTTTTTCAAATTGTTTTTTCGTGTCTATTTGCCCCTCTCCCCACAGTTTTCTACTGGTCAGCCCCCCCTTACCTTAGATTGTCTTCAGTGAACACCCTGTTGAGGTCTGTGTCAATGTACCGCACACACTTCTCAACTGCGCGTGGGTTACTTAAACAGACTGTTGTTTCAAAGTTTTTTCTCGTTACCGCGGCTTTATTTTTCAACCACTGCTTCACTAGGTACACACCCGATAACTCGTTTCCATGCGTGCCGCCCAGAATACCGACCTTTCTCATCGATGGCAAGGTAGTGGTGGTGGTAGTACTAGTAGTAGCCATTTTGCAATCCCGAATTCGCGATCGACGCAGTCCCCTGACGATGGTAAATGGTTTGGTATTAACTACCGACGTCAGAATATGGCTCGGTAGTTTACAAATCATTGGCTGTCAGCAACTCTTATGTGAGCGATTTTTTGAAAACATGCGACCAGGGTAACACGCGACATCTCACTGAAAGTCCCGCAGCGTATCAAACGGACATGCGCCACCAGTGCCAGGCTTATCTTTTTACTTCGAAATCAGTCGTTTACATCGACTCGACGCGTGATGCGGATCGTGATGGGCCTCGTGATGCGACAGGGTTCAGACAAGTACGGGTAAACTTGCATTGATAGTACCCGCACTGACCCGCACTCGTTTCATTTCACAAGGTGCGACCCGTACTTTTCACTGTACTTTATGATTCAAATCAATATATAATATCTAACTGCCATTTATATATATATAAATCTAAGTATTAAACCTTAGAATGACAATACTGACAAACTTCCTACTGCTTTCCGCCATTCCTTTTCTGATTGCCACGCTCATTTCATCAAATACTGTCAGTGAAGACAGTATTTTCCCCCCCCCAATACTAGATAAAGATATCATTTTAGCTGAATTCTAGAAGGTTTCTTTTTTTGTTTTTGTTTAATGCGAATCGATCAATTGATGAACATATGCACAACCAGGCACCAGAGCATGACACATGTAGACATGTACTAATTACTAAAAAATGATCAGTACTGGGGAATTGTTTTCATGGAAATAAGCAGTTAAATTTTATTTGAATTTTCTTATTTGTTTGAACTTTTTATTCAGCAAAATATTAGGAATTTGCAGTGCTTTAAATTTTTCACATTTTTACTTGTTAGCTGCATCCATCCTTTATTTAAAAACAAGGCAAAATTTGATACATTGTAAAAAAAAAACTGCCAATAAACAAGCTGCTCTGTGATTGGTCGACAGGTGTTGAGTAGCCAATCAGATACAATCTTATATTAAGTAGCTTTGAATTGACTTACTCTAACCCCCTACTGTATTCTGTTATTTATCTCAATGGAATTTATTCACCATATCTATAGTTACCTGTATTAATTGTATGACTTTCTGTAATTTAGAGAAATGTACATTTAAGTTTACTCAACATTTTATGGAAGATTTTTCTTTCCCATTCATTTTAGAACCATATTTTGGAATTCTGCATCTGCGTTTTGATTCCACTATGAAACAAGGCTATGATTATTCCAGTCCATACACAAGATACTTTGTAGAAATATATTCAATATAACTATAGAATATACTGAATACTCTTTGTATTTATAAGGAGTGAACAGTGAACTTTATTACGGATTATCAACTGAATGGCATAATTTTGTTAGTTGATGGTTCAATATTACGACAGATTGTTATACCTGAAGGAGCTTGCAATGCATTCAACCACAATCCACTGATAAACACAAAGACCAATGAAGTTGATGTAAAAACATTTTATTTTCAGAGTCATATTAAAACAGACATGTACCGTTCTTACTCTGAAATAATAAAATATGTCACACATTAAAATAACTTAATAGCCAACCAAATTTAAAATAAACAATTAAGCGCAAGATGGACAAAATTACTTTAGTATTTACAAGCGCAGAACATCTAAAAAAATATCACTTGTACAAGTTACTGCTAAGGTTGTGGGGCTTTAGTACTATGTGTCATATTGAATGTTTCGAGAACTTTGAAGGATTCACCCATCAATCTTTGAGAATAAAAGTAAAAATTAAGAAGATCTGAAATGACCCCTAATATTTGGGACATCACAAAAATATCCTGTCCTAAGACACCAATGGGAAAAGTACCATCCCAACTTCATTTGTCGATGATGGTTACCGGTGTAAATTTCCACTCTTTTCCCACAATAATTTCCCATAACTATATATTTACAAGCAATTATTAAAATGTCCAACACAGCGAGAAACCAAATCACAAAATTACTTCAGTCTGTAGTACAAATTGGCAAAGATTTCAGCATGAATTTTTCTACAGTAAAAACATACTGTATTTGCTCTATTAGATGCACACCTCAAAAAAAGTGCACATAAACAAAACATTGGATTTATTTTACACTGGATTATCATTTAGACCATGGACACACTTTAATAGGTGTATGCGCTACTAATAGAGAAAATACAGTAAAGTTTTGTCACAAAGTGTAAGGTTACATTGTAATTTGAAACTGTAATTTCTGTAAAGTGTTGTTACTTTTAGAGTTTTAGTCTAGCTTCAGTGTTCAATATTTTTGCACAAAGTTCACATTCATGCTTGCTGTGTCATTTTAAAATGAAAGCTATGAATAAATTACACTTGAGTTAATGCGATAGAAAATACAGAATATCAAGCAATCTGATCATGACACCAGAATAATTTGACAAGATTTGCAACACATGTACAAAAAGATTCAACATCTATAGAAATTGCATTTTTATAATAATAATTTAACATTTGTTGGGTTAATGGCTTTTGTGGTAACATCATCTGTTCAACTTTACGTGAAATATTTCTCTTTATTGTTAATGAAAATGTATTTTTAACATTTAAATTTATTTTCCCTTCAAAGAAGTGTTTAAAACCCTGAGAATGTTGGCTGCTTTTCAGTTTCTGAAATGGACATTATCCAGAAAATACAGCCAATCAGTGGCAAGATACAAGATGACTGAGATAAGATAAAAAGGTTCCAGTGGAACTTGGAAACATTATGAAAAAAAAAATCATTTAAACTTAAATATTTAATTTAGCAAGCTATAGATTTATATTTGGCCTATTAATGGAACTAGACAATTCATTTAAAATATGCAGGTGTGATTACAAAATGTGAAAACAAAAACAAAAAAATACTTTTTTAAAAACTCACCGAAAAAGATAAATATTATACTAGTATATATATATATATATATATATATACAGCTGCAAGTGGCCGAGAACAGACCGACTACGGTAGATGAAATTCGAAAATGGCATCTGTAAAATATCCACCTATATTTACACTGATTAAAACAGTTTGAATAAAAACATTAGCACAATGCACATACATTTAAATATTTTTTGAAACTTGGTGTGAATGTGATAAGCTGATTTAGTTCATAAGTATTTCAATAAATAATAATAATCGATGAAAATGTACAGCATTGGTGTAAACACGAAACATACATCATAACTTTTTTACATGTTGACTTAATGTACATAGAACAATAAAAACATTTAGAACAGCACAATCTCAATGTTGGTTGCTTCAGAGGACTTCTTGACACATTTACGGTAATGAATTAATTATAAAAAAAATATATACATTTTTTTAATTGTTCAATTTGATATCGAAATACGGTAGGTAAGGGTGAATCAAACATTCCAAACAGGGAGGAGGGTTATTTCATATACACTTTTGGGAAATACAACAGAGCATAAAATACTAAAACACAGGCTCTGACAATACAATGCTTTTAAATAGATGAGCACTTTTTCAACATTGATATAGTACATGCACAAAATCGTCATTTTTGACATTTTAATAGAAATGCATTGAAAAAGAATCTGGAATGTTGGTGACAATATTTCTACCTACCCGGGGAAATTGCTATAGTGGAGATGCACAAGAATAAAAGAGTCATACATGGTGCACATACATGATAACTATAAAGAGCATACTCTTCATTGCACTCTGAGAAGAGATTACATTCCCTGAAACAAAAATAAAAAGCCAACAGTGATCAGATGCATTGTAATTATGGAACAAATAATTGTAATTTAAAAAAAAATATTCTCTTCAGGAAAGCTTACACAAGAGGCAGTAAAATACTATTAATTCATTAAAATTAAACTATCTAAATGACAGTGAGGTACTGTGGTTTATCTTTTTTGGCCCTGATGATGATGATGATGAAGGTGACGATGCCAGAGTAGACGAGCCTCCCTGTCTATTGACCATGAAAGTATTCTGTAGAGAATGTCTCCGTGGCGATGTTCTATCGCCTGTAATTAGGATTGGATTTGCAAAATTAGCCACCCCAGGATGGGATTTCAAACTTCCTGGTATTGCCTTGCTGCTAGACGATGAAGAGTTGTTTTCCTTGTGATTTGTTTTTAGTTTTTTACTGAAGCCTGTGCTCTCTTTAAGAGCGGCCTCAACAGCTTGTCTTTTCACCGAAACAAATGTGTCTCTGTTTGTGATCGCCTTGTGTCTAAGTAGGGCCGGTTTGCCGGGAACACAATCCGGCTCCTTTTTAATTGGCTCGTCTTCCTCTTCGACCTCAGAGACTGTTGCCGAATCATCGTCATTGCCCTCGGGATGCTCGGTAAATATGACGATCACTGAAGTGTTATCTGCACGCATCATTCTTGAACGCCACTTTTCCAATGCTCTTGTAACCAATCGATGAGAGACGTGTCCCAGCCACGGTTTATGCTGAAATACAATAAAACACATTAATATCCTGCGATTAATTGAACTATAAATTAAAACAAATGCTATCCCCCTTTCACCTTGAGTAATAGCGCCTATCAAAATTCAGAACACAATGGAATAAAAACAATATTTTGTGAAACAAGTTAAGAAAGTTCTTGGCATTTGCAGTTAAGAAGCAGCACCGATAAAATGTGTACATACGTTTGGACTCTTCCTTTCACGTTCACAGTGATCTACAAAATCGGCAGCTTCCTGTGGCGATACCATGTTCCAGAGACCATCGCTGGCAAGCACCAGAAACTTGTGGTAGTTCGGATTGATGCGATGGACTGATATATCAGGCTCTGGCGACACAAGAAATTCACCACGATAAAAATCATAACTCCACAGATCACCTGTTGTAAAACAAAAAAATTACAATTATGTTTAAAAAAACAAGTCATTGAAAATGACACAGTCCCCGTTAAATTTTTGAAAGTTCTCTTTGTGCTCGTCATATTAAAGCGGAGGGGTTGTCGCGGGCGTGTCCTTGAAACTTGAGTTCCTAGTGGCGTATACAACAGATTGTTTATTTACATCAAAACACGTGTTCCGTGTAGTAGTAATATGGCCAAAAAAAACAAAAAACAACCGTTATTCGGCCATCTTTGATCTGATTATGAAACACTGATATGTATGATGTATGTGCCAAATACGAATGAAAATGGTACATAAATTGTGGAAATATAGTAAGGCCAAAAAGTCAGATGGCTGTCAATCGGCCATCCTTGACCAGATATTGAAACAAATTGTCACGGACATGCATCCTAACATAAAGTACATGTATGTGCCAAATTTGCAATGAAAACTGACAGAGCACGTCCAAGATACCGCATAAAAAAAACAAAAAAACAAGATGCCTGTCAGTCGACCATCTTTGATCCAATTGCGAAATAAATCGTCATGGAAATGTATCCTAACAAGTATAATCTATGTACCAAGTTTGAATGACAACTGACAAAGCATGTCCAAAATACAACATTTTCAAAAAACAAGATGGCTGCCAGTCGGGCATTTTGAATTGAATCGCTAAACCACTGCATGTGCATATGTCCCACATAAGGTACTAGGCACATGCAAAGAAGGAACGGAATCGGTCCACAGGATTCTGAAATATTACTATTGACAGACTGGCGCACGAACGGACGGACGGACAGACTCAGGAACTCACGGACGGTCGGGGACATGTATCCTAACATGTATGATCGATGTACTAAATTTGAATGAAAACTGACAAAGCATGTCCAAAATACGACATTTTAAAAAAACAAGATGGCTGCCAGTCGGCCACTTTGAATCAAATCGCTGAAACTCTGCATGTGCATATGTCCCACATAAAGTACTAGACACATGCAAAGAATGAACGGAATCGGTCCAAGGGATTCTGAGATATGACTCCGGACGGACGGACGCGGACCGAATTACAAGTCCTCGTTTTCAGACTCTGTCCGAACACTTACAGGGACTAATTAATATGGTCAAAGGTACATTTCCCATAATTTTCTTCACATATTTCAAATTTATAGTTCAATGCATATAGTAAATTACTTTATTTTCACTTAATATTTTTTTTTGCTATTTTTCTGAAAGAAAATAAATTCCAGCCAATTTTCATATATTTTCCTTGTTTACTATATTTTACATTAAGAGTCAGAGACACTTCATACAAAACAGACAAAATGTTTATTCAGCAAGAACTAATTCCAGCTAAAATAAAGTATTTCACAGCACTAGACATAAATGGTCAAGCCCCACTAGATGAATTACTAGAAATTTTCATTTTGTAAGACTATGTATCAATCATCTCAGGGCTCAGAATTAACAGAAGCCTAAGACACACAGACCATACATTCTTGTAGCAGAGATATCATACATGTATTTGGTTATTACATAAGTACCAAGAACAGTATTGGTCATTCAAGAAAAAAAAATGATCAATTTATTTTGCTAAAGAGACTTTAAAATGTATCTATGAATTACAAATTTTTAAACTTTTCACAACTAGACAAAATTCTATTTCAATTTTCAGTTTTTTTAGTGTCTCAAACTTCTGAAGGAAAGTGCAGACTATAAACGAAAAGTGGGAACTAGTGGTGAAACGGATAATGTCTAGATCTGCCTCTAATAAACAGCCAGTGCTCGGGTAGTAAGCATTTTTCAGTGAAATGAAGACACGACAGTGGACATAAAACCACTGCATGTAGAGTCAAATGTCAAGAAAGCCTACCATGTACTGTTCATTTCTATGACATGTACCAATACTTGTATACAAAACACACTTGAATATGACAGAGAAAAACCATTAACTGAATTTGTTTATGAAAAAAATAAACAAAGATTATAATGACAGATGCTAAACTGGTGTATTTAGGCACACCCCAACACAGTTGCAGGCAAAACATGTTACCACAAGAATTTAATTCAAGGCTGCATTTCTATTGTGGTACATTATGCAATGAATGAATGCCTAAGTAAATACCTGATGTAGACGATACATTTAACACAACACAAGTTGAATATGTACAAGTATCTGTATATTGATAGAGGTACATTAAGGATGTGATACTCTATGGTACTTTCTTAATACATGTATTATCCATTCAGCCCCCCCCCCCCCCCCACCATTTATACAAAGAGGGACATTTTCCCTCATTTTAAATGAAAGGTATCAGTCATATCATGTTTGCATTTATCACTGCTTGTTCAAGAACAGTATTTTTTTCATTCCGGATCAATTTTCTATGACTTCAATTTAAATAACCAACATTTGTACTTTTCTGAAATGTACATTGTTTATCATAATGACAATATTTTTAGTTTTATCTTTGAAGGGCTTCTGCTTAAAAAATAATTGATTAGAATTTATTTTGTTGTAGACTTCATCAATAATTTAAATTGTTATTGTAATTTGAGAAATATTTAAGAATTGTATTTTATTTCATTTTAAAATTGAGTTAATGTAAATAATTAATTCAGATAATTTAATACTAATAATCAATTCAAAAATCTAACTTATAATTTTCATTTTTTGTATTTTTACAATTACAAGACCGTATATGGTACAGTATTAAGTTTTGAATATGTGTAAAAATAAGGTGTATATCCAAGCTTGTTTCTACCGAAACCATGAATTCAGTCTCTTTTCCTTTCAGCATCACGCTCAAAACTGTGGGAAAATTCAGTAAAAAGAAATAAAGACTGATATTATGTTGTGAATGATTACAACAAATTTCAGAGATTTCTGAATGTAATTGACTTTCACTACTAATAGTAATAGATGTGGTTGGTTAGTATTAGGTCCTATTCTGACAGCCATTTTAAACTGAAAACATGCAAAACTGGAGTTCATATTAATTAAAATGGCCGCCAGTCACACATGATACTTTAGCGAAATTAAGGTAATCTCAGTGCAAAAGTATGTAATCTATAATTTTCTACAAAAAAATTAAATTATTTATATAAATTTTTACTTCTAATGCTGTCTGTTATCAAAGAAACTGCTTCACCACTGGTCATAACATTGTACCATGACCCATGACATTGACTCATTTGCATAACAAAGACAGCTCAATGTTACTGAACAAGGAAGCCATTCCTATCTCAAACTTGCATATGCATCTATTTTTACCTCTGGGAATGACCTTAATGTCACATCCGACACTTGGGGAGATTAACAATGCTCCAGGCTATAACTGTAATGAGAGTGGGAAGACTCATGTTCTAGGATCTTTTTTTTTTTATTTCGCAATAAATAATGGTAACTTTTTTAATATTCATTTCATTCACAGAATCCCCAATATATGTATTACAAGAAAGTTCTTGGTGAGATACAACTATGTCTACCAACTTTAAAAAAAATCATCACATTCTCATTTATAGAATTTTGAAAGAAACTTTGGTGTGGTAAATGAACAAGAAATAATGCAAGGCTGAACATGAAATGTTTTCAATGCTTATAAACAATATATGAAATTGTGAAACAGTTAACCCTTACCTAAAGATCGTGCCACTGCCAAAAAAGGTATATGATCAATTTTAGTACTTCGTCTTATTGGTCCACTATGCGACAGCCTCGGTCGCTTCCACACAACACGCTGAACGCCAGATTTATTTACAACTCTGCCTCCTAATCTTTCTATTCTTTTTCTCTCCTTTGGCGACTCGGGTTTATGATCGGACGTTAACGGCACTCCACGCAGCCTGTCTTTATTCGGCTCCTTTAAAGCCAAAGTAACGCCAGAATCACCAACATGTGCCACGAACATGCGCACACCTCGAATAATCACAGCACTGACAGTTGTACCAGCAGTGCTAGGAAGACCGGACAATGACTTGGGCCACTTAGCTGTGAATTAAAAAAAAAAAGAAAAGAAAAATTAGACTTGTCATCACTGCAAAAGGATAGAGCTTGTTAATTTGCATTGTGACAGGTGTTAAAAACAGATGTGCACCCACAATGAACATGCAGAGTACAGGCCATGATGAAACAATTGTTGAATCTGGCCAATATTTCTAATTTACAGTTGAAAAATCAACCAGAAACTTTCTTGAATATTCACTTTGAAAGCGTTATACGACAAAGCGTGAGTGGCAATGGGTTTACCATTACCTCCCATGATGTAGAAATTATAAAGGCACCACGGCACAGCTAAATGTCACACGCTGGGACCACGAACAAATTATTTAACGATCTAACAAGATAGTCGTTTACATCGTTCGTTTTGGGATATTTTCTAACACATGTAATGTTTTCAGTAGGTCCATCAATCACAGTCCGGAAAAAAATCTTGATTCGTGACTGTAAACAAAACTAGTCGGCCCTGATCAATGGTGTACAACTCTGTAAATCGAGCCCGATTGAGGTCGCATTGGATATGCAATGCATTGGATATGATTACGGTTTCCATAATAAGTATCATTTCTTTCAATGTTCCGAGGAACGAAATTTAGTCTATACGCAAATGTCATGGGTAAACTGACATCACGTCGTGAGTTTTATTGTCCGGGGGTCGGGTTCGAGGCCATGACTGGTGATATACCGATTTTAACCGCCAAAATCAAAGGCAATACAAAACCGCACACAGGGTAGAAAATACTCACGCAGCTGTTTCCACATAGCATTGTGCGTCACCAGGAATCCTTGTCTAATCGCACGGACAACCGCGTCCGGATCTTTACTATAAAATCCTTTTTGTTTCTTGATGTTTTCCCATAGGTGTTCCCGGGCGAACATCGCAGCCTCGCGCCCACCGTGCCCATCGTAAATGGCGAAAAAAGCTACTTCTTTGTTGATATCTCGCTCAAATATGATGGAAGTCAGGTCCTCCATGTACTTGCGACCACCTTGGTTGGCTTCGGCGGTAACCCTGAGATCTAAACACGGTACGGGCTGAGGCATTTTGTAACTGTAGGTCCCAAGATCGTATGTACTCGCCGCGAATGTTGACAACAATGAAACGAATCAAGGATTTGGATCGTGTATGAACACGATATATAAAGAGATCGTTGATTGGTTAATATCAAAGATGATGACCTATGACACGTGGATATCTGACTGACATTTCTCGCACTCTGATGTTGAGGGCGCTTTGATCAGGACCATAGTTCTTCGACTGTGTACACATGCTGCTGATAGATACAGCGGAAGGTTTTTGGAGATTGTGGACCATTTAAAGATATACATTCTAAGTTAAAGGCCAAACAACACTCCGGAATAACGGCAAGGATAAATCTGTCCAATTCAAGGTATCTCAATCTAAAAAAAGAAAACAAGTATGTGCCAGCTTCAGAAAGCTATGACGGGAAGACACTCGAATTTATATCATTACGGATGTAGTCATGCATTTATTTGATATTACTTGGAAGAAAAAATACGTCAACCATTTCTTAGAATTACAGTGAAATCCACCAAGATGTTGAAATTACTCTGGATGTTAAAATTAGAACAAAGTCCCTCCAGCTGAAAAAGGGACTGTGATTACAACAACTGATTACCTACCTTGTTTCAAAATATTGTCCATCACTGACAGACGTTTTGTCTACAGTCCAGACGTACTTACATTATTTTTATGTGTAAATAAATATGCTGGGACCGAGGAGATAGTCATCAGCTAATCATAATATTGTAGTAAGTACATGTAACCATTTTCAACAGTTTTTATATAATAAATTATAGAAATTTAACTTTCAAATATATTAAACAGTTCCCATGGGCATCTTTCGCGTAAATATTTGTTTACAGTTTATCGACCTTTTATAATTGGCTTTGCAATCCCACCACCAGTTAGATATACTGTCACAGCATTTTTTTAACAAATCCAAAATCACACTGGTTAATTTTGTTTTATTTTTCCTAGCTTTAAAATACTGTGCGTATTCATGTAAGATGACATGAAAATTGCTACAAACAAAAACAGAAGATCCATTCTGGGGTTGAACTATTGCCAAATTTCGGGTAGTTTAAACTTATCTATGCAGTAGTCGGTCCGATACAAAATGAACTTTATGAACTTTTGATACATGTATCAATATGAATTCAGACCAGCAGTTAGATAGATTATTAGAGATGATGGGGAAAACAACATCACTAGTAACCAAGGAGGTGATGAGCTGCATTCCAAAAAGATAATTTATATATAGTGCATATGAATATGAAATCATTTTTTCAACCAACTTTTAATTCAATAATTTGGGTTTGATTGCTTTATCTTTTGCTTCTTCTCATATATTATCATATATTATTGTCCTAGTGTTCAAAATACACGTATTGTATTTGCTTGATTAGGAGCAGATCTCCAATAAAAATCCAATAATTACATTAATTATTGGTTACTAGGTCATTCAACTATGACTTGTATTGACCATAGGCACACCTCTGCTATTTAGTTTAGTTGAAATGTTCACAGTTCATCATCATCTGTTTTTATTCTGCACACAGATTTTCTAAAAGACCAGCAACTATCATTCATTTGTGAGTGAGCACCAAGACAGCCTCTACACACTTGCGTGAAAATCAGACTTGCATGTTGGTTATTGTTTGGATATAAATATACCACATCTTCTGCTTAGACTACTTGTACAACAGTCTAATGAAATAAAATATGCCAAAGCGAAAAAATAAAGTGCCAGATCGCTGGGAGAAATATGAACCATTTGGCACACCACTAGAGATTAAAGAAAATGCACAAATACTGGCTTTCAAAGTACCACTGTGTGATGCATTTTCTCGTAAACTTAAGGAAGCCAAACCTTTCAGTCTTCAAGATTTGTTTAGAGATGTGAAAAACTTAGCTTTAGTCATTGACCTTACCAATACAGATCGTTACTACAACAAGAAAGATATAACAGATAAGGATGTTGCAATTGACGGCAAAAATATCAAAGTTCAGTATAAGAAAATTAAGATTCCAGGCAAAAGGCTTCCATCAGAAGAGTCTGTAACGATTTTTAAAGAGACTGTTAGCAAGTTTCTTGAAGTTACTCAATCCAAGAGTTCTGTAATTATCGGTGTTCATTGTACGCACGGTCTCAATAGAACTGGATACATGGTTTGCAGATACTTGATAGACTGTTTAAAATATGAACCAGATGAAGCCATTAAAACCTTTAATGATATGCGACACCATGAAATGGAGAGGTACTGTGATGATTTAAGACAGATGCCATTGAAGACCCATGTTCAACAACACAGTGCTGCATATAATGGTCAAGGTATGTTTGAAAATAGATGGTGAATTCTTGTTTGAAGCTGTAAACTATGATGTTATCATGAGAATACCGCAAAATATGCATGAAGGCAGTACGATGATCACATCAACCGACGTGTGGATTGAACCCATACTGCATACTTTGCGATATTCTCACATTAATATTATACATCTTTTCCCACTTGAGATTGACTGCAATGACAGCAACAAAAAATAACGTTTTGCGAACATTTGCGAACAAGTGACGGGACACTTATAGGGCTTCTGCATTCAATCTAAACAAAGGAAAGTGTTCGAATGTGACAACAATAAAATCTTGAGAAAGTGTCAATGTTGGTGACATAGTTTACAATAGATAATTTGAATGTTTGAACGAGTGATGATATGTTTTAGAACAAGTGTTGATACAGCATTTTATGAAGTGACAGTTTACAGCGGGATATATTGTCTTCAGTGCTAGAGGACAATGACAATTTAAGCGATCTATTCAGGCTTTCAAGGTCACATGGCTGCAATCAAAATTAAGTGTGTTGCTGGTGATTTTTGTCAGTCATATGTTAATTCCGCTATTGATCTAACCACTGATACTGTTTTTTTCAGTATCAGTGTTGAGCAACTTTAGCAACAAATCAAAGTTCCTGGCAGTTCCATGCATTCCAACATCCACTCCAAATGATCACTTTTTCATTCAAATCTATTGTAATCTAATCCTTATTATTGTTAAAATAAATTGAACACGTTTTGCTACAGCGAACTAAAGTGACAATAAAACTCAAATACACTGTAATATGTTAACCATGTACAGTACTGCAGTGGCTAATCCAGGGTGTTTATTGGGTTACAAAAGATTTGTATGAAAATGATAACAATTATGTCCAGGATAACTGTGTATTTGTTTCCAATTGTGTATAATATAAAGTAACAAATTTAGTGCAGTCTAGTGTTGGCAAGTCTGGCATGTATATTTTAGAATTATCAAGGATTTTATTTCGACTCTGTATTCCTGCATAATCAATCGTGTTACAAAACACACTGCTGCCGTCTCACATAGCAAAAACACTCAACCAGTGTCACTTGACATTTTCCAGAGAACGTTAAACCTGCAAGACCAGACAGTGCTAAAGGAGATTGCAAATCAAGAAATACACCAGAATCATCACC